CCGTCCGCGGTAAAGACGTCCATTACAATTCGGAAGACGTGAGTTCCTCAACGTCGTCTCCCAGTCGGCCAGGGTAGAACAGTGGAGGAATCCCCCCTCCGTCCTGCCATCCTCCTGTTAAAACATAAAAGTGGTCCCTCCCTGGTCCATAGTAATAATAATCCCTCTCCCCTAATCATTCTTTACTCCAGAAGGAGTAGTGCGACCAACAGGTCAAGTCGATCTCTCTTTCATTTACCCTTCCTCTTCTTCCTCTTTTTCTCCTTCTCCTCCTTCCTATCACTTCCATACATCTGTCGTCTCTCCGCTGGTCCTCTTCGTGCTTCTCTGATCTCTCATCCCACCGAGAACCGCGCTCCTCCCTTTCCCCTGTCGCGTCATCGTCCTCGACTCCGTGTTCCGCTCATACTTGAGTCCTCCTAAGCATCCCCACCCCATCCGTGTCGAGACGCCCGGGAACTCCTGATTCTCGATCGGCGCGAAACCATTCTCCTGAGTCTTTCTTTTGTTTGTTCTATTGTTTTTCTGGACTTCCTGTCCGCGTACTACTCGTCACGTCCTCCCTGACATCCCGAGTATACGAACATGTCCGACGCAGACCAGGAGTGGAAACCGAGCGGTCGGCCTCAGTCGTTCGTCCTCCTATTCGCAATAAGCCTTTGTTGAAACATGCGCGTTGACCATGACATGGCAGGACCATGGCACAGGCCTTCTCCTCCGCGCTAGACAGCGTCTTCGCTCTGGACTCTGAAGTCGATCACTTATCGCAGACGATTGACCAAAAGTCGGTCCCCTGTCTCCTATACTTCGTTCCCTGGTCGCACTTACCACTTCCCCGCAGAGCACCACCACAACCCCAGAAACAAAATGACTACCATAGCTAACATACCCATTACCCCTCGTCTAGGCGATTTCAAATGCTTATGAAAAACCGGGAACTGGAAGAACTCCAGGCCAAGATTCGCGCCGCCGAAGAACGCCTCAAGGCGCAGCAGGCCAATACCCCCAGCGGCTCGGGAAGCCGTGTGCAAACCGAAGGCGGCTATCAATCCACATCCTCGACGACATCCCCAACGGACTCGGCAGGCCAGTACTCCAGCGGCGATGAACTGCGTGAGCAGGCCCAGCAACAGCGTACGTGATCAATCGTAACACGTGCCAGGACGGGCGGAAATGAGTATGTTTTAGGCACCGGTTAGGGGGGTTTCATTGGATTGGACTTACTTCACGCGATTATATCCCTGTGTATGGCGAGCATGTTTTGGAGAATTGGTTTGTGCTGGTTGACTTCTTTTCTCTGTTTGTTTCAGGCATCTTCCGGTGGGAAGATGTCGGGCAGGTCTTTCCAGATCTGCTCCGTTTTGCATCTGGCATCCGTAGCTGGTATGGGGCCACACCAAGTCAGCTTCACTGTGGATATGTCCCGCCCACTGTATTCTGGCTTCGAACGGTTGCATTTTTATACTTTGGGACCTAATAATCTGACCTGTCGTTTGTATAGCGTATTATTGTCGAATACCTGACACTGGATTTGTGGAGAATAAACGGAACCTGTTCACAGCACGTGCAGGTATTTATGTCTGAGATGCATGCTTCTGCTGTTACACGAAGCACTTCGAAGCCAAATTTGACTCTGGAGCGTCTGCACTCCCAGGTTCTGAAAGAATGGATAGACGGATTACCCGAAATGGAAGTCCTATCGTGCGCTAGGCCTCTTCGGTCCGTCTGGCTGTTTGGTCGTCCACTCTGTCTGTCTCTTTGTTTCCTGTCCATGGATGTTTCATCCCACTCTCATGTCAATCCAGATGGTCCTTTAGACAGACAGCCATACGATACGAACCGTCTGCCATGCGCCGAATGGATTGCCGTCCGACCGCAGCTAAGGTCGCCAGCTAACTGTATACAGCAGATATGACATCAGCTGCGACCGAAAAAGTGGGCAGCTCCCCAGGACTAAACGCGGTCTAGACGCTGCCAGTCTATGATCCAAGACCTTTTCTTTTCCTGTCATGATAAGCCGGCTCTGAGTTGTCCTGCAGCTCAGGAACGGTCATGGCCAACCATTCACCATCCATTCCAGTTTCTTGCTCCTCGTCTCCGGCGCCCGGCTCTTATTATAGCTCCCGTCCCAGTCTTTCTTCTCCCTCCCTCCCTCCCTCCCTCCCTCTCTCTCTCTTTCTCTTCTCTCTTCCCATCTCCCCTCTCCGTCTCAACTTAACTCTCCCCTCCCGTGGTTCCCTTCACTCCGACCATGGTTTTGATCGACAAACATTCTTACCTGTCGCAGGAGGAGCGGCGCTTGAAGGAAGACCGGGAACGCTCCCGATACTGGAAACGATGGGGTCCCTATGTCGCTGAAAGACAATGGGCGACAGGTGAGTCTTTTCCTCGCCTCGATTTCCCTGTTTTTGCAAGGACTGATGATCTCATGTGTTAAAACCCCGCAGTTCGGGAGGACTACTCGTAAGTTGCACAAGACCCTTCTCCAGTCCATCACATGGCTGAAAGTGGAACCGTTCGCTGACGCTGTCTTAGTGAGAATGGCGATGCATGGAGCTGTAAGAATGCCTAGTGTTGCAATTGATCCTCTCGGTGCAGGTGCTAATCCCCGCGGTAGATTTCTCGCATGACCATGCCCGGTCCAGAGCTTATCGCTGGGGCGAAGATGGGATCGCCGGAGTGTCAGATACCCACGGAATTCAGAACATTGCGTTCGCATTTTGGAACGAGAAAGAGTACGTGTCCGCGATTGGCGCTCCTTGAAGCTCGCTCAACGTGAATAGCGATTTCCTGAAGGAACGTCTCTTTGGCCTGTCCAATCCCCAGGGAAACCATGGGGAGAGCATCAAAGAAGCTCATTTCCACCTCGACAACACCCCCACGGTCGGTCTTCTCCGTCTCCATCTCAGAACGAAACTAACTCCCGCAGCACTCCTACATGAAATACCTTTACAAGTACCCTCAGAAGAAATTCCCCTATAAAGATCTTGTAGACGAAAATGCCCGCCGCGGGAGACTCGAACGCGAATACCAGATCTTGGACACCGGCGCATTCGATGACAATCGGTACTGGGATATCTTCATCGAAACAGCCAAGGAGGGCGATGACGAAGAAGAGCTTCTTTTCCGTGTCATTGCCTACAATCGAGGCCCTGAGCCCGCTCGGCTGCATATCGTTCCCCACGTGTGGTTCCGCAACACCTGGGCCTGGGGTCATGAGGACCCCTCCCTGAAACCCTCGATCGAAAAGGTCAACCCACTCACGGCAAAGTCCTCGCACCACAAACTGGGAGAAAGATATGTGCGGTTTGCGCCCTCCCCTGCAGCCGGTGACTCCCAAGAAGATGTTCTGCCGCAGATGCTTTTCACCGAGAACGAAACAAACAATGAATTCCTCTGGGGAACCAAGAATGACCAGCCGTACGTGAAGGATGCCTTCCATCGGCACATCGTGGACGAGGAGAAGAATGCGGTCAACCCGGCCAACAAGGGCACCAAATTCGCCGCTTGGTATGCCTTCGACCAAGGGGATGGGATCCCTCCGGGAGAGTGCGCAGTCGTTCGATTTAGGTTCTCCCGGAGACAAGAGGCCTTTGTGGATGAAGAGGTGCTAGACGATGTGGTTGAGCAGCGCAGGGCCGAGGCAGACGACTTCTACTATCACATCAGTCCTCTGCCCATGAGTGACGATCTTCGCAACATCCAGCGACAGGCATTTGCAGGGATGATGTGGACGAAACAGTACTATCATTTTGTCTGGGATCAGTGGGCGAATGGAGACCCTGGCATGGTACCTCCTCCGCCTGGTCGAAAGCATGTCCGCAATCAGCAGTGGAAACATCTGTACATGGACGACATCCTCTCGATGCCGGACTCGTGGGAGTATCCTTTCTTCGCGGCGTGGGATACCGCATTTCACTGCATCCCGTTGGCAATGATCGATCCTGAGTTCGCAAAGAAACAGCTAGATCTTCTGACGCGAGAATGGTACATGCATCCCAACGGACAGCTCGCCGCGTATGAGTGGAATTTCGGTGACGTCAATCCCCCAGTCCACGCATGGGCTACCTTCAGAGTCTTCAAGATTGAGCGGAAGATGTACGGCCGTCAGGACTTGGACTTCCTCGAGCGCGTGTTCCAGAAGCTGCTGCTGAACTTCACTTGGTGGGTGAACCGGAAGGACCAAGAGGGCAAGAATGTCTTTGAGGGCGGGTTTCTCGGTCTGGACAATATTGGTTTGTTCAATCGATCGGAGCCCCTTCCCACTGGGGGTGTACTCGAGCAGGCGGATAGTACTGGATGGATGGCCTTCTACTGCTTGTGCATGCTGAACATCGCCCTGGAGCTGGCCAAACACCGTCGCATCTACGAAGACAGTAAGTCGATGTATCCCATAATTACTTCAACAAACTAATTCCTGCAGTTGCATCGAAGTTCTTCGAGCACTTCATCCTCATCAGTGATGCAATGACTTTCAGGTCTGGAGGCCAAGAATCGTCCCTCTGGAATGAGGAAGATGGGTAAGCTGTCCCCAACCTGCTGGTAGCCCAATGCTAACAATGTAGATTCTACTACGACGCCATCTCCTACGGCGAACCGTGGACCCAGCAGCTCCCCGTGCGTTCACTTGTGGGACTTATTCCGCTATACGCGGTCCTCACACTCGAGCCCGAGCTAATCAACAAGTTCCCCACGTTCAAACGACGGCTGGACTGGTTCATCGAGAACCGCCAGGACGTAGCGGAGCGCAACATCGCCAGCATGAAACGGCGCGGAAAAGGCGAGCGTCTCCTCCTCGCACTCGTCAGCCGCAGCCGGCTAGAACAGATCCTGAAGCGCATGCTCGACGAGACCGAATTCCTCTCTGAACACGGCATCCGGTCCATGTCCAAGTACCACGGCGAGCACCCGTACTCCATGACAGTGAACGGCCAGGAATTCCGCGTCAGCTACGTGCCCGGCGACTCGGACAGCGCGCTCTTCGGCGGCAACAGCAACTGGCGCGGCCCCGTCTGGCTATGCGTCAACTTCCTCCTCGTCGAGTCGCTGCTGCGCTTCTACATGTTCTACGGCGACTCGCTCCAGGTTGAATGTCCCACCGGCTCCGGCGACTACATGCACCTCGGCCAGGTCGCCGAGGAGATCCAGCATCGGCTGCAGCACCTGTTTGCGCGCAACGACGAGGGCCGCCGCGCCGTCCACGACAACTCGGACCTCCTCGACTTCGACGACCACTGGAAGGACTACATGTGGTTCCATGAATTCTTCGACGGCGACACCGGCCGCGGCCTGGGCGCCTCGCATCAATGCGGATGGACCGGGCTGATCGCCAAGATCATCCACGATACCGGGTGAGTTCTCTCCCAGCACCCCTTCCAATCGTATATAACCCCATCAGCCACCCACAGTCACTAACCCGAACCAGAATAAACTGCCGTCTCCCGCACACCCCGCGGTCACCCTTCGCCGCAGCATCGCACTACTTCGACGACAGCTTCCATCGCTCTGTCAGGGGCGGGAGCCGCCGCAGCAGCCGTCGACCCAGCGTGCGTCGCTCGTCGACGAGTCGCTCCATCGGCAACCGCAGCGACTTCGAGTCTGCCTTTACGCCGGATACACCCGGGGCAGAGAGCGTCGTCGACGAGGACGACGACCATGTCTCGCAGTATGTGGAGAGCCAGCTGCAGCGCGTGCGCAGCCAGGCGTCCATGGGCACGTATGAGGATGAGTTTGAGACGACGGCCGATCAGACACCTAATGGACATTAGTTGTGTTCATGTAGAGGATAGAGCAGCGCATTCATGATTGTTTTTACCTAGTGTTGCTTGACCCGGTGACGAAGAGTTAAGCGTCTCATGTATCTAGGATCTGTGAGTATACGATGACATTGGAACGCGTACAGTTCATAGATGATACACTTCCTCAAGAAAATACTATCCAGCACATTCCTACCAGATGCGCGCTGTACGATGTAGCATGGTTGCAACCACTTCCTCAATCGCAGTTATGAGGCCGACAGCATCCAACCGTAAGTCCCAGGAGGGCAGAGCCTCGACGCAACATACACTATCTAACAAAATAGCATAGAAGCACACCAGATACGAGCGAAAACTCAATTCTGTCTATTTAACCCAGAACACGAGTTCATGCTAAGGTAACTTCAAGGGAATTTGTAGGGTACAAAAGGGTAACAAAGGAGATAATTTACAAAGCGTCGGTGAGGGCCTTGTTCAGCTTGGCGATCTTGGACGACACGCTGAGGTCGATGGTGCGGTCACCGATCTCGACGACGAGACCACCCACAAGCTCGGGGTCAACCTGGACTAATCAGCCGCGACTCACGCAACAAACGCAGGGAGACACATACCTTGGTGACGACCTTGAGCTTCTTGCCCTGGCTGTACTCGGACTGAGCGACGGCCTTCTCGAGACGGGAGATGGTCTTCTTGTCGAGTTCCTAGTATTGTCAGCACCAATGCACTACTACAGAGTCGACAGCGGTTTTGGATGAGGGCTACCTGAGCACTGGTGATGTTCAGCTCGATCTCGCCGCGGTGAGCGCCCATGAGGGTCTCGAACTTCTCACAGACACCCTCCAGAAGACCGAGACGGTTGTTCTCGCCCAGGGTGGTGAGGAAGTTCTGGACGATCTCGCCCTTGTCGCCGCTGAGCTTGGCCAGCTCCTGGACAATCTGCTGCTTGTCGCCGGCAGTGAGGGTCGGGGCGGAGATGAGGCCGGTCAGCTTGCGGTCGGCCTTGAGGACCTGGCCGAGGTTGGCGAGGGCCTTGGAGGTCTGGTCGAGGGCGGAGGACTTGGCGGCCGCGGTGTACTGCGTGATTGATAGCCGTTAGCACGGGGAGGTGTTCAAAGGGAGAAACGGATCGCGGTCTGTGTTTTGTTGTTGGGGTACGCCGGGGTCCGGGACGGGTTTTCAGTGTCTCAATCCTCGGGGTAACGGATCGAAATGACGCTGCACCACACCGCTCCCAACTCGCGTTCCCGGATCCAAACAGGGTGAAAATGACGGTCTTGGGATGTCGCATACCAGAGCGGTGGCATAGGTGCCATCAACGCCGAACAGGGAGACGGGAGGCTTGACGTCCTGGGCCGGGGTGGCATAGGCGCGCAGGCCGTTCAGGGCGGCGGTGCGAGGCACGGAGAACTGCGTGGCGCGGAAGCCAGCACGGGCGACACGAGCGGAGAGCATTGTGAGGGCTGGGATAGACGCGAGAGGCGGACTGTGGGGGTGGAGGAGAAGTTGGATGGGAGGTCGTGCGGTTCGGCAGGAGAGGGGAGGAGACAAGAAGTCGAAGAGGTTCGTCACGTGAGATCCCGTTCTCGCCGAATTTTCGGCTATGCATACAAAGTCGCCATACGAAATTCACCCCATGCAGCATTCATTCTCAGATTCATTCATTACAACCTAGACGCCAGGAAAGAACCCCCGAAATGCAATCCATAGCCGCGAAATAAAAGAAACAAACGCCATATCCACTCTAATCGCTTCGCAGCATACTCTCCACCAAATCTCCCAACGGCCCCCAGAAATCCTTTCCACTCGCCAACCGATGCTCATCGATGAACAGCACATAGTGCTTGAAACTGGTGTTGAGGTGCGGTTCCAGTCCCAGATGCACAATCACCGGGTAGTGGTGGCAGTAGATATGCGCATACACACGGTATAACCGCTTGAAGATCTGACGCACAAGACTGGTGAAGCCTTTGGGGAACGGGACACCTACACTAGTCAGCAATCCGATGCAGAAAAATCAGACAGTTGGAACCCTACCCAGCCGGCTGGGGAACATCTGTTCGTTGTCGACATTGCTCTGCACCCAACTCATCAAATGTTCGATGTACTCCGGCGCCGACATCTTCGTGGGTCGCTTGAAGTTCTCCGAGTCCTGCCACAGATACTCGAATCTATCCACCAGCCGTCAGCGATCGTAGTCCGCAGGTCGCAACCACTTCACCAGGGCACAGAGCATACTCATCGGTCGCCTTCATCTCAGGACATGACTGGGGCGAGCAAAACTCCGTAATCGAACCGTAGAGGAGGTTAATTTGGTTGTAGAAATCCACCACTGCGCTTGGATCAGCATCGCCTCGCTGCAACAGTAATGCGACGATTCCACCTACCGTTCACCGCAAGCCATTCATTCAGATCCTCGCCTTCCGGCAGTTTCACGGCCTTGCGCAGACTACCGCTTCCCAGCGTGGCTTCGGCAAATTGTCTCAGCTGGTAACTGCTCGTGCCCTTGGCTGCTGAGCGCGGCTTGAAGGGGGCGCGGGTGCGCGCATTGCTGAGGGGAGTCAGTCCAAGGAAAGCGTTATGTAGAGGCCGAACCACTGGCGACAGATATGACGGGGGTGGGAGGATGGGAACACGAGGGGTACGGATGGTACCGCAAGGAGGGGAAGAGTCTGGGGGGGATGATGCTGATGCTGATGCTGACGACGACTTGGATGACGGGACGGTGGATGATGCAGGGGAAAAGAATGGCACGAACATGGTGGTGATGAATGAAGCCATCCTCCTTCACGACTCTCTCTTTGTGCCTCTGACGCGCTTCTCGATATTATATCAGCCCCCCACTGTCGGACTGTTGTCTGTTTCGCGGAATGAGTGATCGTAGGTGGGATGTGCGAGGAATGAGGTTTTCTCAAGAATGTGCCTACATTCGCATTCTCCGGGAGACAAGTCAGTGATACATATCCAGTCAAACACAAGAAAGGGTGTGGACCGCGCCGACTCCGACTCACCGCAAGAAGGCGCCGTGCGAAGGAGGTGGGATGGAATGAAGGAAACGAGCGAAGACGATCGTCGGCGGAGAGAGACAGGCGCAAGTGAGGATCAACAAGGAAGGGAAGAAGGCTGTAAGAGCTCAGCGCCACAACTTGAAACGAACTAGTTAGACCAACTGCAGTGTGAGAATGAACGCGATCTCCGTCATCGATCGGAGTGGATGGGGTTGGTCTCCACGATGCCCCCCAGCTGAACATCGACGACCCATGGGTGGCTGGTTGCCCGGGTGACAAACTTCCAGCACTCTCTCTATTATTATCAACCTACGGGGTACACATACTTCCGACACCATTAGATGCCGATTATTCAATTAGAATTACTCTCAACTACCAACTATGATTAAATACATGATATACTTCTGCCCGCAGAATGAGGTTATATCGCCTGCACTCCCAATGCAATCCCATCCCATCACAATATAGTAGCATCTCAACCAAGAGCAGCAAGCTGAGCAGACAAGCCCCCCTTGTCGTACTTCACATACTTCCCGCGACCCTTGTCGATCTCGTGATAGCGGTCCCAGAACCGCGCGTATAGTGGCTCCAGCACCGCCTGAACCTCCCGGGCCAGTACAGACCGTACCTCCCGCTCCATGTGAAGCTGCTTGTGGCGAGAGACAAGTTCGTCAAAGCTGGCATTGAATGACTTGAATTTGTCCTTAATAGCATCCTTGTCCTTAGATGACAAGGATTTAACAATAGCACCCGAGTCAACCACTCCTCCGGAGGTCGGCCGGCCAGCCGCTCGTGAGGTATACTGCACGTCGAGAAGGTAGTGCGAGGTCTCCTTCCAAGCATCCAGATACGTCGAGGTAGCGCGTTTCCGGAAGGAGTCGATCCGCGCAATGCTGTCGGGAGAGCCCAAGTACCGTGCCAGCTCGGGGCTCTGCCGAATCGAACGATCCACGTGGCAGAACACATTCGATAAGAACACCCCTTGGACGGACTTGGACCTGTGGAACGCCCGGCCCCGTGCCTCGAGTCCGACCATCAAGGCCTCGATCATATCGAGAATAAAATGCGACAGGAGGGTAGAACTGTCCGGACTCACGTCTAAAGGAGCCGTGCTGGCCGCATTGGCAGTGGACCGCCAGTTGCCGTCCCCGAGGGAGGTCAGAATCGAGGCGAGGGGGCCAGAATAGTTGGTCAAGGTGGTGAGGGAGCTCATGACTTCGTTCACGAGAGGAACAGATCCACCATCAGGCGGTAGCATCGAAATACTGCCACACTTCCGCTTCGTCTCTTCGATCAGTTCAGAAAGCGACGACTTGGCCGTCTCACGAACCGGCCGAAGCGCTTCGATGAATAAACTCTTCAGTTCCCCAGTCTTCGAGTCGACACGATAAGACATGGCAGTCACGATCTCAATGATCTCAAAGGCCAGGAAACAATCCGTCATGAGATTAGCTTTGATGTATTGATTGAGCTCCCGTAGAGTCTTCGAGTACTCTGCTAAGGCCGGTCGACAGGTCGTTTGCAGAGCCAGGCCCCGCTGATCACCAGTGAAGATACGAGAAATGATGTCGTGCTCAGTATAGATAAAATTCTCCAGCGCGTTCGAGTAAATGCCAATACCGTTGGTGCCTTGCGTGTAAGGTCCGTCCGTAGGCCTCCGTTTGACTGTGTTCATGGAAGCGATGGCAAGGTTCTGCAAGCTGGATGTGATATAAGGTGCACGGGTCTCTGAGTAGATTTTGACAGCCGGATTCGAACCATCATTGCGTTGGAATCCTTGTGAGGCTGCCGAGCCGATCGCTGCACAGATAGGTCCTAGGTCCGCAAGTGTATCGTCGGGGATAGATGGGAAGGCGAGCTCTGCATTGAAATACAACAGTTAGTTCTCCAGCCAAAAATTTAGCGCCCACTGCCACCTTACCTTTCGTCAAATAATGTAGCGGCTCTATCGTGCCGACATGGTCGCTCAATTTACTGCGAAACAGATCTTGGAGCTGCGCGGTGCCAGTATTCAGTAAGGAAGTAAACTCGGAGATGGCTTTCTGGTTCGACTTCAAATTCGTAGAATGAAGATCCACCAAAGCCTTTTCCACCCGTCGCAACGCAGCCAGGTACTGCGGCAAGTCGCAATTCTGGGGTCTTACAAGAAAGTCAGCACTGATGAAAGAAAACACGTTCCCAGCCATGCCAAAGCAAGGAGGCTTACCCCGAACGAATAATACCCTCCTCCCGGCTCTTCGCATCGAGCGGTTGACGGAGGCGATCAATAGCTTCGTTGACCTTGTCGATATTGCTGTTGGTAATTTGGAGAGACTGCGTGTTGCTGTAGATTGGGCCTATCGCGTGTTTGACAACATTCCCACCGGTCTCCAGACGAACCATGGAGCCCTGGATTTTCTTCGTCAGGAGTTTCAGCTTCTCGAGGTTGGCATAGAGCACCTCCACCTCGGCGCTCTCCTCCGCAAACGCTGTATTTCGAGGGGCAACCATGGTGGGAGAGCATTTATGAGTGCCAAGCCGTATGTCAATTGCAGCGCCCTTGCAGCCCCGATATGCACCGCCTAGACAACTTGGGATGAATCGACGATGGGGTCGAGGACGTGCTGGACCCTTCCTTTAATCGATGGCTGGGAAGCTCCCGAACATGACGCGGGGTGGGCCAAGCCGATAGCGATGACTAAGGCCCGACCAACACATCGTCCAGGTCAAGTCAACAACAATAGGATTGTGTAGTTTGTGAAGACAACACATTCATATCTTCGAGTTCACTCTTGATTCTTCTATTATCTCCTATATAGAGTATCCTTCGTCCTCCTCCGGAACCCTCTCCCGGACGGTTTCCCCGTAGACCGTGATCGGGATCGATATCTCAAACGACTCACATCCAAGATTCTCCAGGGCCGTCAGAATCTGGCCCCGATCATCCTCATGCACAGCTTCCAACAGCTGAGCACCCGAAGGCCCCGTTCCTGTCTCATAATACACTGTGGGAGTCACAAACTCAAAGCGCAGCTCCCACTCGTGATTGACGCCATTGGTCAGGATCGTAGGGGTCGCCGAAATCGGCACCGCTGGGCTAAATACCACCCGCGTCGAATAAAGCGTATTCTCAAAGAACGATGCATGGACCCGGCGTGTTGCGCGGCGAATGCTGGCGCCGGATCGCACTGCTAACGAGCCGGCGACTCTCTCCGACGTCTCCAAGGTGGCGCGGATTGCGTAACAAGGAAGCGCGGTATCGGTGAAATCCACTGTAGCAATGATGGTCTCGCCCAGTCGATGGGCTGGTCGATTTAGCACGACGACGGCAATACGGCGACCATTGCGGGCAATCTCAAATCGATTGGGACTGTGAGAAGCATTCGGCGCCTGATTGCTTCGGAGAATTGCCAGGTCAATCGCGTCTTTGCAGGTTAGCGGTCCCGTGGATACGTCATGGCTCGGCTGCTTGTCCGTAAGAACGTCTGGGGGCTGCAATAGAGCGCTGCGCGAATGCTTCTCAAGAAGCTCGTCCACGTATGACAAAAACTCTGGTGCGGACGTCCATGTCGGCACACTGATACTCTTCGGTTTCGACGAAGGAGGGAGGGAAGATCCAACTTTTTGAACTCGCGCTTCGTCACGTAGAAGCACATAAGGGTTCATGAGGTTATGGCCGAGGATTTCCCCTTGCCCTATGTTAAATGTAAGCTATGTGCAAAAAAAAAAATTGAACTCATATCTCAGAAAGGAAATGGCTCACCATTTACACCACTAAATACCCGGAATGGTATACTAATGCGGTTGACTCGCTGAGGTTCATTAACACTGCTGGGACGCTGGGTGCCAATGACCAAATTATACGAGATTTTGATCGCCTTCCCTTTATGGCTTGCCGGAAGCCCACTGGGTAAGGTGAAAGAAAAAGAATAAGATTGTTCCTCGCCCGGCGCCAGCCGCAGATCGACAAACAGAAGCGACTGGGGTGTCGACAACAGAGGGATCGACCTCGACGAGGAAACCCCTCGCATTTCTCGGAGACCATCAAGGTCGTTATTAGAGAGAAAACCACTCAAGGATTCCTCAATTGCGTTCCACTTGAAAGCGCCCCAGAAGCCGCCACCTTTCCGACTCTTTTCATTTCTTGATGCAGGGTTCCCGTTGGGCGTGCCCATGCTCCCCTGGCCACCAACGACGCCTTTCCGTTTGACGTCTTCGAAAGCAGACTGATTTATCAGTGAGCCATCGACGGTGAAAGACGCGCTGATTTGAGCATAGCCCATCAGGAGAGCCTGGCTGTTGATGGAACGACCTGAGGGCTCTAGGCTGGACATGTGTCGCGAGTGACGGGCCGCGTTTGATCGCGGAACAGGAATAGAGTAATTGGTGTACTCCGATTGCAGGGTTTCGGAGGAACCATTGCCGACAGAGTAAAACTCCCCACTACTTTTATGGCTTCCGCTCAGGCTTGATGTAGACATGATCTTCGTAAGCTGGGGTACTTGAGCAGGCGCTAAGGAGGAAGGGTCTCTATCGTTCAGCTTCGATGAGACTGCAGCACCGCCATTCCCGTCGGCCAACAGTGGTGATGTGCTTGGACGGTAAGTGCTAGATTCTGTTGTAGGAGACGCGGGGAACTTGAAGTCAATCGGAGGCAAAGCAGGTCTGCGTGCAGCACGCGGAGACTCCATCGGCCTAATAGGACTGTGGGCTGCCGATCCAGGGCGACTACCCCGAGACATACCCTCCATATCAAGTCTGAGGCCATTGGAAGACGGAGCTATAGGGGACTCGGGGGGGTAGCCACGAGATGGGGTGCGCCCTGGTGTGTAAAGATTATTAGCGTAAGGCGCTGCAAGAAGCAGTTATATAGCCTTGTTAAAGCTAACCTTTTCCAAAGGGTTCCTCATATCCTTCATGTCTCCTTGGGGGGACTTGCAGACTTGCGGACCGCCCATGACCCCTGACCGGCTTCGACCGACTAAATTGCGAGGACGATCTCGGAGTAATATCAGTCGGGAGGTCGCTATCAATTGAAAGAATGGACACCGATCGCTTGTGTTTGTGGCCAGCCGGAGGGCCACTTCGAGGCGTAGAGGGGGGCGGGAAGCTGTGGGAGCCGATTAACGGGGAGCTCACGGATGAGGAGATCCTGTGAGCTGGGGACCGTTTCGCAAGTGTAGGGTAGGATCGGCGATGAGAATTGAAAAAGAGGCTTTGGGGAGATCTTAGGGAGAAAAGGGATTCTGATTTAGGACTGGTGTTCCCAGTTCGCGACTGTTTGCGTTGATGCGGGAGCTGCCCGCCATTGTTGGTCTCCGCGGTTTGCTCCGCAACGTTCTTAAAGGTGATGGTGCATTCCACATCCTCCCCCGCAAATATTGTCTGGTCTTTCCATTTCACAAAAACCTGGATATCCGAGGGCATGGCGAGGGATGCCGCGTCACCATGTAGGTCGACGAAAGCGCGCAACGATCAGGAGCTCACGTCGGTTCGGGGTACCAGCCGCCACCAAAAGAGAGTCGACAATGGCACTCTGCGCGAGAGAGAGAATGAGGTATGAGGAAGGAGATGCCGTCTCAGGGCATAGCCATCAGATGGTGTGGTCCATAACCCACGAACGTCGAATGGGAGAGGAGAGCGAGAGAGCGTTGGGCTCGAGTGAATCGGGGGAGGTTGTCCGGAGATACGACGGCGGTTGGTATGGGGTTCGGTGATCCACTCAGGTAAGCAAGCGATCAGCTGTACAAGTATATGCACCTGACAATGCACAAGCCCGATTTCCAACGATGTCTCTCTCGAATTGATTTATCTACAATAACTTCCGAATTCTTGATGTGATATCAACTGACGCCGGAAAATACGAAGAACCTGGGGAAATTGCCCTTCCCCATATCTTTGGTCCTCTTTACGTCACATGTCGCGAGCTCGGCTAACGAAGCTATATTCAGAGACATGCTGTGGCTATATACAATCCAAGATATTATTAAAATTCCCAATATTACAGACCACTTAGATGCAATCACCTGCTACCTTTCCGACGGTCATCATATAGTACATTGGTATCAGCAAAGGGTTCCGTCCGTTTGGTTTTGGGTCGCAGACCAAGTTCAGACAGATGTCCCCAAATTCGATCATGTCGCCTCTCCCATCGCTTGCGGCGATCCTCTAGCTCTTCTTCGGAAGCTCTCCATTTACTCTTCAAGATCCGACGGATGGCTTCTGGTGACACACGGAACTGCTCGGCCAAGACTGGGGTGGTGAAACGGTCGGGCGCGACGGCATTCAGGTGACGGATACCTTCCAAAGCGTCAGGTGAGAGCTTCTTGGGCGGATTCCAGCCTTCGCGGAACTTCTGCTTTAGGGCATCTTTCTGAATCTGCCATCCTTCCTTCTTTCGCTTTGGCTTGGGGCCGGTGGCCTTTAGTCCGTTGTCTGCGCGAGAATTCTTTTCTGTCGCTCCAGTTGAATTTTTCTGTGTTTTTGAGGCTTTAGGTGGGGTATGTGGTGTATCTTTCGGTGTGGACGTCGAGTTTGAGGTAGTAACATTATCTGTGAGGTCCTCTATAGACACTTCACTCTGATGAGCGTTCCCTTTCGACTGCGATTGAGAGGTCGCTGGCGATTGGGACGATGAGGAAGATATCGATTGCGAAAGGGAGAATCCATTGTGGGAAAGGGAGCGAAACTGCCGTGAATAGGCGGGTCTGCGAGAAATGATGGCTGTTCGATGTCTGGCAAAGGAGGGAAGTTCAGATGCGAATTGGGCGCGGAAGACGTTTTCAAGGACGGTAGGCAAACCGAGGGTTGCCGAGTGGGCACAAAAGGCGACCATTGCGCGTGTCCTGCAGATGCGGAGGAGGGAAGAGCAGGAAACGTTGTGGTGGGAGTTAGAGAGAGAAACTCGCGGTGTGGTCTCGAGGAAAGAAATCAGTTGTTCAAATGGGAAGATCTCAGACTTTGATGCCTGAGGCAGTAATATATCATGTGACTGGAGGCCGTCCGATCATGATATACAATACATCCTCTGATCTGGTAAGATTGGAGCAGAGGTAGCGATAATTATGATCCGTGGCGGGTAAATACTTTTATTGCAACTCAGTGTACTGCAGGCTGTATTCGATGGTGTGTTAAGCCTTTCTGGTCAGTCTATTGTACACCACAGTACTATATATTGTAGACTCCCACCATTACAATCAAACTTACTGTGTTGCTACACTTCCTTTCTCCAATCTTCCTATCCTCCTCCTTTCGTTACCACCAATCTCTCCCCACGCCACGACCCACAATGTGATCTGAGAAGGAATATCCTCAACTGCTTGATATTCGATTTCCCGTACAGGAAGAACCAGGACGACGATCGCTAGCAGACAAGCCACCAAATGATCCGCGAGTCGATCCACCCGAACTAAAACGGAAAAAGAAAACGACCGTCATTCATCCTTCTCCCCGTCAACCAGGGGAATGTCGGATGGGGCAGAAAAGAAAGAATCTCCCTGTCTTTGAGTGTCGATTGAGTGAGAATCCCCCTGGCTATGAGATGAGCTTCTATACAAGGACTGACCTGGAGACGATGTCCCCGAATCGACCACAGAGGCATACGGCGAACCCCAGAGTCGGAGCAACACCGGTTCCTGGCTCTGGATTTTAGGTTATTAGTGAGAAAGGATTGACTGTCAGATCCCTCGATCCCTCCATCGGTTCGGTTCGCCAATCCCTGGGACTCCGCCCACTGGAATGCTGGAGCTAAGCTGGGAGCTCCAACAGCTCTCTCTCTCCTTCTCTATACC